AAAAAAAAAAAAAGAATGGCAGGGGGCTTCAAGTTCTGCTGAAACAGAAGTTTCCTCTCTTCCTCTCCCTTCTGGAGGCCAGTCGTCCTTGTCCTTCAGAAGACATACTTCCTTATAAAAGCTTTCATTTTTATTAATGATAACACTGTCTTCCCACACCATGCACACAAATCCCTCATGGGCTTTCCTTCTTTTTCTTTTGTAAATTTGTGGAAAGATCAAATGGATTTAGATGAACTTCATCTTTCTAATAGCTGTGTATATATATTCTCAGCATTGCAAAGGGGTTTCAAGTAGCCAGTAGGAGTCCACCAAATCTAGACGTGATCTCATCTTCTCAAGACCCACGTACCTCCTGCCCTGCCCAATGGCTTGATGACACACACACTAGAGATGCATCTTAGATGCATAATGTTCTATGGGTGTGGCTCCTCCCTCATGGATAGACACACAACACCCCAGAGAAATACTCTGTGTCAATCTGGGGGCAGAGAAAAACAAACTCGGTACTTTCAAAAGATTTTCTTCTCTAACAGTCTCCTTGTAAGCACATCCCACCCAATTTCAAAGATACATATGCAATTCTTGTCTTTTCCTCCTGGAAACATCCAGACCCAAAGTGTCTCAAGAGTTGAATCCTGAAAGATCCTGATTCCTGCTTTTGTTCCCCATCCCAGCTCTCCTGCCTGTTGTGGCTTCTCAACATTTCCAAATATAAAACTGATTAATAATGAATGCTGTGGCTTATCTGACCCACATCTCACCTTACTCTTTGCTCCTCTGGAATTCCATTCCAAAGTCAGAGGAATATCAAGTTCAGAAAATAAGGTTTCCCTGATATCCACCCTGAAGTTTCCTTCTGCAAGTTGCATCCTATTACTTCTTTGGGTGACACTATATAACTCCTCTCCCTCTTCAGAGATTTGTAGATTGTTACCAGGGCTTTCCCTTCATCGCCACTTCGCTCAGCCATATATATTTAATTCTTTTCATCTTTCACCATAAATTGGTCCCCTCAACTCTTAAATCAGCTCTCTGATCTTCTCTGGACTAGTTCCAACTCCCCAAATTCACCTCAAATAACTGATATTCCTTCTGAGAGCTCCAATTTCCTCCCTATCTTCCTTGGCTCTCTTTGCCCTCTCCAGAAATGAAATAGGAAGGCACTGACAGATATGTGAGGTCAAGGGTCAGGTGTATTGCATTGCATACATCTACTTTAAATTTCTCAGGTCTCTCCATAGCACATGTAAAATCCCCAGTTGCCTATCCCCTTTCCTGGAGTGAGAAGGGGGCTGCTTATAGAGAAACAAGCCCTCCTAGCCCACAAGTCAATATCCTCTAGGCCTCTGCCTGGGGGAAGGCAGAAGCAAGACATCAAAACATCCAGAAAACAGGTTACAAAGTGGGGCTCTGAGCAATGTGACTGCCTCCAGGCAGACATCTTTTCTGAGGTTTGGACTGTCCCAGAATGGTAGACCAAAATTCATACAGTCTCAGCAATGGCCTTTCTACGCTCTTCTCCATGAATGAGTGCTGTGGGGAGCTGCTTCAGACTTCGAAATATTGATCCCGTTTATGAATTCAAAGCAAAGCAACCCACAAAGAAAACACATTTGCGTGTCATGCATTCTAAGGCCTCTCAGCTATCCTTTTGTCCTCTCAGACGTCCCAAACCACAAGGAACAGAGTTTTTGCTTCATGCTGACTGGGTGCTTTTCCATTTCTATCACATCCCTAGTCATGGTCCTGTTCAGATTCAGGAAGCTATCTTCAGTCTGAGACAAATGGGTTGCTGCAGGCCACCCACCACTCTCTTCCCTCCTCACAGCCCCATCAGCATACTTGTGCCCCTCTAGACCAGACCAACAGGCATTTGGGCAGAAACAGGGAGAAATAAGCTGAGTTGTGCCTATTTTCCCTTTGTATGCCTGAATATCCTATGTCACAGAAGAGTTAAATGCCTTTTCTACAAAACAGAGCCCATAAAAAGGAATAAATCCATTTCCTCAAACATAATAAATAGTAAAATTAATCCAAGTGTGAGAACCTAAGCTTGAATTTTCATACAAGAAAACAAATGGAAACACCATGATATATGTTGCCTCAAACATGAAACATGATAGAACAGGGTGTGTCCACTCCCTCCAAGGGGAGGTCTGCAGTGGAAACCATATCTGAATGAGGCTGGGGAGGCAGTGGGAAGGCAAGAGGCTAGTCCGGCATGGCCAGCTGCCTAACTGAAAACAGCATATGCCTCAGAGCAGGAGAGCCCATCCTGTTCCAAGTGTGATCACCACAAGGCCTGAAATGCTTTTCAATAAGCTGTCTGTCTCTCTGGAGGTCATGGGGAGCTCATCCAGTTACACTTAGTGTCTTATTTGATCCCATCAATAATCATTTGATCCCAATGCTGCTGAAAAATGCTTGGCCAAAATTTCTAGCCTTTTAATGACAGAATCCTGGCTCTTTCTGAAAACAGCATTGCTAGATGTGTCAAATGATGCATAAGGCCTTGGTCCAACTGCCAAATGGACTGTGATGCTAAGGGAGGACTTGGGACGCTCACAGAGACTCCCTGCTGTCAGTAGCAAAGCAGTTCTTGAAGCACACTCCTCTCGACATGAAACTCCCCTACTCAGTGGCTTCAACTCCTTACCAGAGGCTTGACTGGAATATATGCTCCACATGCATTAAGCCTGTGACTCTTCAGAAACACCCACTGATAACTTCATGTTACCTGCCTGTTTATAGTAGGCAAGTTCAGGGCTGCAGAAAGGACCCCTTTTGTCTGTCATCAACATCTCACAATAGCTGATCTAGACTGTTGGGCCTATGGTCATTTAACAAGAGGTGATAGGGAAGCTCCAGAGATGTTCACAGACATGAAAGTAGAAGACAATCCACATTCCCAGAGAAGTCATTCTTATATCCATTACAAATACATTAGGCGCTAAAAGAGAATGTTGCATGTATAAACCACAGAAGCCATCATGACATTAAAGCACAGCTGTTCTCCACAAAAGTATCTGTGGAGAGACAACAGTATTGGTCTCCTATCTCAGTTCACAGGAGGCTCTATCAAACTCATCAAACCCTGCTTCTTACTACAAATTCTGCCTGTTAATATGAATTCTGACATTGAACACAAAGGGGTCATTTTGGGTGCCAAGGATACCAATGCTAATGCTGAAATATGCATCCAGATTCTGTTTTCCTTGGGAACCACATACAAGTATGTTTTCTGTGCAAGGAGGGAAGAACCTCAGCTTCTAGATCTCCCTGCTGTGTGATAGTACTGGGCATGCGTGGGAGGATATGTGTGTGCTGGGACAAGCATGGTAGGTACTTGTAGCTCTACAGTGGGCTCTTTTCAGTGCTTTCCATCCAATTAATACTAGTCATTAGTAACCGGTGGAGCATAAAAATTTCATTTATTTCTGATGATGAGAATGATAGAAAAGATGCTGGGTTTGCTCAATGGAATTAGTGTAGGCTTTTAAAAAGGCATGATTTCTTTTCTGTGTCTTCTCATTCATTTACATTGTATATTTTATTCACTGAGCCTTTCCCCAGTGGTATTACGAGAGAAACATCCATTCAAAACCACCTGGTTTTCCAGTCAAAGAATACTATGGGAAGAGTTAGAAGTAAGTGCCTGCACACACATCCCTAACTCAGTGAATATGAGAAGAAAATGAGAGTAAATGAAACAGAAACCTTATTTCAGGAATCTCTAGCAGAGAGATCTGCAGTGAAACAGGCTTGCCAGAGACTGTCATCCAGAGCTGCTGCTACAGACATTCAAGCTAAGAATTAGAGGGAAGGTTGG